AGTCGACTAATCGAAAAAAATAATCGGTGATTAATCGATTATTAAAATAATCGTTTGTGGCAGCCCAAGTACCCTGCATGTTTTACCTGTTTCCCTGCTCCAACTAAGCATGGGTCAAATACCGGTTTCAAGGTATACCGTGATATGAAAAAGTCACGGTTTCAAAACCACTAAAATTTTCTGTCATACCGTGCCTACGGTATAAGCATTTTTTGTTTATTTGTCCTCTGGTCTGTGCCGCTGCAGACTTTCCCCTGCGACCCCTCTCCAGCAGGCAGCCTGTCGGCACTCGCAGCTCTGCGGGGGTTGTGTGACGGTAGCTGAAGAACAGAGTTCCCCAAACTTTTTCCCTGTCCAAAATAATAAATCCAGCTATATGAAAATACGTAGGATGCCCTAAAGACGACAGCAATGTGGACTGTGGAGGCATCTAACATGATCGCAGCTCCAGGTAAAGTTTATGCTATCTTGAAATGAACGAGCTAACGTTAGCATCAGATTGTGAAACATGTGTTGCTGTAGCTTAATGCACCGGTCACAGCTTGTCTGCAAAACTGTTTGAATTGTTGGATTGTGTATTTAATAAGTTTTAAGTGAAAGATGATAAAACTAAATGCCTCCTTTAGCCGAGCAGCTCATTAGCTGAATGTGCGTTTCATAAACACGCATTCATAGTTGTGATTTCTTGTATATAATCTTAACATCAAATACCCTTTTGAAATTTAAAACACAATAAAAACTCCCAATGTGATAAATTACTTCAATAAAAAAACTTGTCATGCGTTATACACCGATTTGTCTTAACTAATAAAGCAGTAGAAAAGCAGTTATCCTATATTAGATGTAAACTTTATCAGGATGACCTAATTGCTTTAGGCGTTAACAAATCATAAGTACAGATGCACACAGGTAAACAAAATTTCAGCATACCTCTGAGATCTAAAAACAGCTTCCAAAGTTAATTAAACTTGAATATGATAATAGAAAATTAATTTTCTTTTTTTGTTTTTAATTACAAATTTCAAAACAAAATTTTTAGAGCTGTAATCATACCGACCTACAACGAAACCATGATATTTTTGCCCAAGGTTATCATACCATCATAATTTCATACCGTCCCATGCCTAGCTCCAACACACCTGATGCAGTGACTGAATTACCTTTTTCAGTTCTGCAGATGCCTGTCAATAACTCATTCATTTAAATCAGGCGTTGGAGCAGAGAAATAAGTAAAACATGCAGGATACCAGCATCTAAGAGCAAGGACTGCCCACCCCGGTCTATGGCGTACACGTAACAAACACAAACAAATAGGGTTGGGCAATATTGGCAAAAAAATTAATCACGATTAATTTTGGAATTTAGCCGATAACGATTAATTTGACGATTCATCCCCTGGACACCCTTATGTCCTGGTCACATGACCAATTTAGTGGGAAATATTTGCTCTTCATAAAAATCTGTTCCAATTTGTGTCAAAGTTACAGATTTCAGGGTATACATTACATTTTAAATATATGTTGATAAATAAATTACAGACCTTTTTTTAAAATGTTGGTCATATTTGAAGCACCGAGCGGACTCTGCCTGGTGGCATTAATCGTATTAATCGTCAAGTGCCAAAAAAATTATCGATTGTTTTTCTGACGATTGATTGCACACGATACGATTGTACCCAACCCTACAAACAAAACGGCAATAATACAACTGGAATTACATTTTTTAGACATATACAATTACTTTGCTTTAAACTACCATGTGGTCACACAAAAATGAAGCAAGGGGGAATGTATCAAAATCATCAAAATGCATCAACAATCATTTTATCATCACATCACAGCTCTCTATATCATATAATATCATGATGTGTAAAGATTCTCACCACCACTAAATAACCTTGTATTACTCCTGTCAAACGCTATGACTTTTTAAAAGAGTTGCTTTAATAGTTAAAAACACTTCACTTCTATTCATGTTTACCATTAGTTATGCATGGACACAGCAGAACTAAGTTAACCATGTTTCTGTGAAAAAGATGGTTTAAATCAAGAATTACAACTGATCTGGGTCTAAAGTAGACCTTTTCTAAATTTCTAGGTGCTTTCAGCATTTATACTCAAAGTAAGGGATTTTCCTGTATATTTTTAAGTAATATGATAAAGTATTGATTATGTAAAATGCTTTAAGTACTTGAGTGAATGTTTTGATCCAGTCATTTCCTCATGTTAGCTATCACGATCCAAGCTATTTTATGGATTATAGTGTCTGGCAGTTCAGAGACTAATTTTATGACTTTCGAGCAGTGGTAAGATTTGGACTTTTAGGATAAAATTTAAGGTCGTTGCAGAATGCTGCTGTTGTGACAGCTGGTTTATCTGATGCTGTGGGACTGTGCTTTGCTAGTTAGCAAGCTGTTAGCAAACAAAGAGCACCGCTGTGCAGCTTTCTGATGAGACACAAACCTTGCTCTTCCGTCCAAAATATAAGAGAAATCGTTACAGACATTCTTTTTACAAGAAACATTTAAATTATTACAGTGAAGCTGCTGAAAGCCCTCCAACTGCGCGGAGTCAGCCGAGTTTCTGCTCTCGTTTCCTCTGCATGGTAGCTAACTGTGGTTAGCATTAGCTCCTGTTTCACACGAAGAAGCCCAACCGTGGCGTTTTTAGATAAACTCTTAAAGCCTTTCGACGTCAGTCGTGTAAAAAACATAACCAGCGGTTGAGAATAGGTCACACAAGCAGAGAAAAAGAAGTGTTATAAAGGTGCACGTCACACAATTTAGCAACACACCAGTGTTAGCATGATGCCTGGCTGAGCGAGGCTAACCTTGCTAGCGTTGTTTAACTTCTAAAATCAATTTGAGTTCAAAAGCTTTTTTGCTAAAACAACAACCCGCAGAGACTAAAGTAATGAGAGCGTGCCGAATCAGGACAAGGTGAAATGGAAAACTCACTTTGAACGCCGTGTTTACTTAAATGAACGAGCTTCTCCTCAACAGCATGTTACATGGACAATGAACAGGAGCGGTGTTACGACAGGGATGTTGTTGCCATGGAGACAGGAAAGCAGAACGGTCAGGCAGATTTTTTATCAGAGAAAAACATAAATAAATAAAATGGCAATTAAAACAGGGAGAACAAACCACGTAGTGATGATTAGTACAACTTACTTGGAGTAAAATGTGAATCCACTAATTACTGTGGAGAAATAATATCAGTGTTTCCCAAAGTTGGGGTCGGGACCCAAAGTGGGGTCCCGAAACATCAAGATGGGGTCCTGAAAAGATTTTCTGAATTAATGACATTTTTGCCTTAGTTGTTACAAATGAGTGAGGTTAGTGTATTTAAAATGGATA